CCCTGAGACAGCTCTACCTATATGGGCTCCCATGATCACTGGGGCCTCTGCTATTTGGGCCAGAATTATTCTGTCACTCTGTGCTTCTGGTGTGATGCAGTTAGGAGCATTATTGTATCTGTGGTAGCAGGGACTCTTCTGGTACCCTGCAGCAGGTCCCTTGCTTAGCTGGGTGGAGTAGAAATGGAAGGGAAAGGGGAAGACAGGTAGATGAGAGTCAGAGATTGAAAGCTGGGGTAACTTGGCCTAGCTTAGTGTTTTCAGAGTAAATAAGGAACATTGTCCTGAGTCTTGATGGCTTGACTAAGAAATACCAAGATTAGTCTAATGAGTAATCAGTAATTCTTTTTTTTTTTTTTTTAGATTAGGGTCTTATTATTTTGCCTAGGCTGTTCTTGAACTCCTGAGCTCAAGCAACTTTCTGCCTTATCCTCCTGGGTAGCTGGGATTGCAGACATTCCCCACCATGCCTGCCCTAAGGAGTAATTCTTTGAAATTCTTTCCATGATAGCACTTGGAGTTTTATTTCCAGTTGGCCCAAAAGAGGTTAAGTTCCTGAAAAGTTGTGTATAAATCAAAACATTGGTTGAATTTTTGTTCCTGTTTTCCATGATACCTGACTTTTTTTACCTCTATATAATTTGCTTTAAAGTATGTTTGTTTGCTATTCCTGTTCTATTTGGAAACATTTACTTATAAGCAATGAATAAGCTATTTATATAATTAATGAAAACCTGGAAGATAATTATATGAGGACAGACTATATTACAAATGCAAATCAATTTTAGAATATGATCATATGAGAATGTAGATATTTTTGGTACTTCATTTCAGAATTTGTATTTTAATTTATTAGTTTTATATAACAATACATACTTAACTTCTTCAGGTATCCTCTTAAAACTTCAAGTAGTTGAATAAATTAGAATGAGGTGTGGATGAAGGCTGTTCTAAGAGTGCATAGAGTTACAAAGATTTTGATTTAGATGATTAAATCTGTTAGTAAAAAACTATCCCCCAAAGTCATAGAAATATCAGTAAACTGCCCCCCCATGATGTTACCCAGGAGATTATAAAATATAAATTAGTTAGGTCTACATGTTGGAAACCTTAGAAATATTCCCTTTCAATTATAAACTTCTTAACTAAGAGGAAAAACAAAGAGTTACTCATGAAAAGTTAGAAATTAAAACAAACAAAGGATCTAAAAAGAAGAAAATATTTCGTGGGGATTCACTAAACATGATGAAGAAATGATTGTTCTTTCTTATTAACTTTTACCTCTCTGAGGCCTTGGTTTAACAGGTTTTAGAGATCACAATCATCCGACACTTGGATTCCTTTGCATTATTGAGATCTGGGTTTTCTCTTAATTTCAGTGTAAAAAGACATCAAAGACCTCACTAACCATCCAGGTCAAAGATTAGGCAAGAATAAATGGCCCAGAGACTAGCTTGATGTGAGTATATTTACCCCTAGTGATGTTCTCAGTCCATACATTGTCCAAATTATTACTGCTTTTTTTTTTTTTTTTTTTTTTTTTTTGAAAGAGCCTTGCTTTGTCACCAGGCGCCAGGCTGGAGTGCAGTGGCATGATCTCGGCTCACTGCAACCTCCACTTCCCGGGTTCAAGCAATTCTCCTACTTCACCCTCCCAAGTAGCTGGGACTACAGGCACATGCCACCACACCCAGCTAATTTTTGTATTTTTTTAGTAGAATGAGATTTCACCATGTTGGCCAGGACGGTCTCCATCTCTTGACCTCATGATCTGCCCACCTTGGCTTCCCAAAGTGCTGGGATTACAGGCATGAGCAACCATACCCGGCCTACTGTTTTTTTGTTTTAAACAAAGCACTCTGTCACCTAGGCTGGAGTGCAGTGATGCAATCTTGGCTCACTGCAACCTCTGCCTCCTGGGTTCAAGCGATTCTCCTGTCTCACGCTCCTGAGTAACTAGGATTACAGGCATGTGCCACTGTGCCTGGCCAATTTTTGTATTTTTGGTAGAGTCGGAGTTTCATCATGTTGGCCAGTCTGGTCTTGAACTCCTGGCTTCAAGTGATCCACCCACCTTGACCTCTCAAAGTGCTGGGACTACAGGTGTGAGCCACCACACCCAGTATTACTGCATTATTAATAGAACTGGAGAACTAAGGTACCAGTGGAGGGACTCTCAGGAAAAAAGCTTAAAGGATGGTAGAGATCATTTCTTCCTTTACAGGCAAGGAGTCTTTGCTTTAATCAGAACATCCGAGATGTTCTCACAGACATATTCCACCCCTTCTGGTTATTGGAGTCTATGGCTCTGACCAGCCTAAAAAGGCCATTCACCTTTAAAGCATGAAAATCTCAGGTTTCCTCTAAGTCCACCTTGACCTCATCTCTGCTAGGCTAACTGTGCTTTTTATTGGAATCATTCAAGTGCGCCAGTAGTTTTTTACAGTCCAATATCAGAGGAAAGTACACTCAAAAAAAATTTTTTTTAGTAGCGAGATGTGGATTCTACTGTGTTGCCCAGGCTGGTCTCGACCTCCCGGCCTCAAGCGATCCTTCAGCCTCGACCTCCCAAGGTGCTGGGAATATAGCGGTGAGCCACTATTCCTGGCCAAAAGTACACATTTTAATGTTTTAACCTAATTATTATTTCAAAAGATAAAATATGCATTCTATGGCATTTCTGTGACAGAAAAGAAAGGGGGTGTTGTTTGCAGCTTTGGGTCACAAGAAGGAAGGGAGGGAGGGAGGGAACTTCTCTCACCCCAGGCATTGAGTCTTAGCAGGCCTAGAATTACCTGGGAATTGGGGAGCAGAGGGGATGATCTGGAAAAAGCAAATGGTCCAACCAGCATCCTGGCCTGGCCATCCAGGAAACTCTGCCATAACTGCCTAATGGACCACAGGGAACTTCTCCAGATGCCACCCTCCTATTATGTATACCCTTTCCCCTTCCCAAACCACAGTAGTTATAGCACAGCACACAAAGGGCCAGCCACTGTTGTGCCCTGAGAAGGAAGGTTGTAGAACAAGAGGTGTACCAATTAAGCTTTTGTTTTATAGAGACTTGGACTCTTTTTTTTTTTTTTTTTTTTGAGATGGAGTCTTACTCTGTTGCCTAGGCTGAAGTGCAGTGGCACGATCTTGGCTCATTCCAACTTCTGCCTCCTGGGTTCAAGCAATTCACCTGCTTCAGCCTCCCAAGTAGCTGGGATTACAGGCACCCGCCACCTTGCCCTGGCTAATTTTTTGTATTTTTAGCAGAGACAGGGTTTCGCCGTGTTGTCCAGCCTGGTCTCGAACTCCTGACCTCAGGTGATCCTCCCACCTTGGCCTCCAAAGGTGCTGGGATTACAGGCATGGGCCACCGTGCCAGCCGGGACTTGGACTCTTGTCTTGCATTCAGCTTGGCAAGGTTTAAAGCATAAAAAGACCTCTTCTCTTTTCCGAAAGCCACTGACTCTTACAACCTCATTGACTGACTGAGGGTGGTTCCAGATCTGGCAGAATAACTGTTAACACTGAGGTGGAACCCACTGCATGCAGGGCACTGTTTCAAGTGCATTGCGTGTGTTAATTCAGTAAGTCCTCAAAACCTCCCTGTGGGGTACTCCTGTTACCCCATTTTACAGAGCAGGAAACAGAGGCACTGAGAAGAAAAGAACTTCCTTAAGACTTGTACCCAGGCAGACAGTGTACCTCCAGAGTCCAAGCTTACAGCCAGGAGTCTCAGACTCTTTGTGAAGAGCCAGATAGTTAGCATTGTAGTCTCTGTGGGCAGTACTGTCTCTGCTGCGGTGGTGTAAAAACATCCATAGACAACACCGAAGTGAATGAACATAGATGTGTTCCAATAAAACTTTATTTACAAAAAGCAGGCAAGGGGCAAGATTTGGCCCATGGGCCCTAGTTTGCACACTACAGCTCTTAACCACTATATAGTACTACGCTGCAGGTACATAAAACTCAGTCATTTACATAAAACTCTCTCATTTATATTTCCTCAGACCACCTCAGGCCACATGACATTCCATTCAACAAGTATCATTATATGGAATCTATAGTTTACAAAACATCTGCTCTTCACAACACTTTTGTGAGGCAGGTTTAATCAATGTCCTGGTTTTAGAGAAGAGCTAAACAAGGCTTTAAAAACGAAGCTACTTGCCCAGAGTCTCAAGTTACAAAGTTCTTTGGCACATTCTACACTTGAAGTCTAACTCAATAAAAGCCCATCTAGCCTGACCCTAGTTGTTTCTTCTGGACCTTCTAGAATCTTCTATTTTGACCTTCTAGGACCTTCTAGATGAAAAATGTTCTTACACCAGGCCAAGTCTCTGAAAGCCGTAGGGGATGGGTACAGCCTAAGTTTGACTGCTGACACTGCTTGCTGACTCTCATTCTAAGAACTGGGCAGGATGGGTCAAATGCAGCATCTGTGCAACAATGTAGGGCCTTGGAATATGACATCACACTAACAATTATTTAGAGCTTACAGCGTGCTAGGTGCTGTGCTAAGTATTTAATATATATAATCTATTTAATCTTTAGAAGAACTCTTCAGGTAGGCAGGTCTCATTCCTGTATTATAGATGAAAAAACAGAGGCACAGAGAGCAAAATAATGTGTGCTCTAAGGACTGAGTGTCCTGTGTCCCTGACTTTTTTTTTTGAGATGGAGTTTTGCTCTCGTGGCCCAGGCTGAATGCAATGGCGTGATCTTGGCTCACCCCAACCTCCCAGGTTCAAGCGATTCTTTTACTTTAGCCTCCCAAGTAGCTGAGATTACAGGCATGCACCACCATGCCTGGCTACTTTTTTGTATTTTTAGTAGAGACAGGGTTTCTCCATGTTGGTCAGGCTGGTCTCAAAATCCTGACCTCATGATCCACCCCTCTTGGCCTCCCAGAGTGCTGGGATACAGTCATGAGTCACCGCGCCCAGTCAGATGACAGCTGTGTTTTCCAGCTTAAACTACAGTTGTATTTGTTGTGTTTCTATCAGAATGTGAAAAAGACAGACTGGTTTCAGGAGTGGCCAGATTCCTATGCCAAACACATCTACAGCTCGGAGGACAAGAATGCGCAGCGGCACCTGAGCAGCTGGGCCATGCGCAACACCAACAACCACAACTCCCGCATCCTCAAGAAGTCCTGCCTTGGTGTGGTGGTGTGTGGCCGCGACTGCCTTGCAGAGGAGGGGCGCAAGATCTACCTGAGACCTGCCATCTGTGACAAGGCCCGGCAGAAGCAGCAGAGTGAGTAGAGCTTGGTAGCACCAGCAAAAAGCTGGCACCCAGCAGATGCCCCTGCCAGATGGGTCACTGTATCCCAGCACCGCCCAAGGATGCAATGCTCACCCTGGAGTGTAGTGGAGGCCAAGGCTGTTCTGACATGGAGCATATGGAGAGGAACCAACCAGACCTCTTGTGCCCCAGCAGGGACCTCACATATTTGCCATACCCAGAATGCCCACCACCAAAAGGGTTAGGACACCAGACTAAACACTCCTGATAAAGGGAAGATGGTAGGTGTGGTAACTCACACCTGTAATCTCAGCACTTTGGAAGGCAAAGATGAGAGGATTGCTTGAGCCCCAGATGTTCCAGACCAGCCTGGGCAACATAAAGAGACCCCCATCCCTACAAAAGATTTAAAAATTAGTTGGGTGTGGTTGCATGTGCCTGTGGTTGCAGCTACTCCAGAGGCCGAGGCAGGAGGAGTGGTTGCGCCTGGAAAGTCAAGGCTGCAGTGAGCCATAAGGGAGCCACTGCACTGCAGCCCAAGCAAGAGTGAGATCCTGACTCCGAAATAAAGGAAAAGCGGCTGGACGTGGTGGCTCATGCTTATAATCCCAGCACTTTGGGAGGCCAAGGTGGGAGGATCACCTGAGGTCAGGAGTTTGAGACCAGCCTGGCCAACATGGTGAAACCGCATCTCTACTTTAAAACACACACACACACACACACACTAGCCAGGTATAGTGGCGGGAACCTGTAATCCCAGCTACTCAGGAGGCTGAGGCAAGAAAATCTCTTGAACCCGGAAGGTGGAGGTTGCAGTGAGCTGAGATTGCACCACTGCACTCCAGCCTGGGTGACAGAGCAAGACTCTGTCTCCAAACAAAAAAAAAAAGGAAAAATGTATCACTTAAGGTGTTAATGTTAATTCATCAACGACTGATGTAAAATTTAGAAGAAAGTAGTTTATTGGACTTGCCACTGGACCTCTTATGGGTCCCTGAGTGATCTCAATGTGTGCATTGATGTGGAGTGGCAGCTGTGAGATTAAATGAGAGGTTAGATCAATTCCATTCAGTTAGGCTCACATTGTAATCACATGCTGAGATATTTGTTCATTTTTAAAAACAAATTCACTGGATTATGAAATCGATATATTCAGCATGCCCTGTACTTTGCCCATGTCAAACCTCAAGTTACTTTATATTTTTTCTAGTAGTTTGTCTTCAAAACTTGCTCTGTCAGGACCTGGTATCAGTCATTTATGCTTCTGTGAAAATTTAGTAGCTGCATTCACTCTCCCATGTGGCTCGGCTCCTTGACCCTTAGACCCTGGCCTCTTGACCCTTAGACCCTTAGTTCTAATTAGGAGGTGAAAGAATTTCTCTTTTTTTTTTTTTTTTTTTAAGACAGAGTCTTGCTCTGTCACCCAGGCTGGAATGCATTGGTGCGATCTCGGCTCACTGCAACCTCCACCTCCCAGGTTCAAGTGATTCTCCTGCCCCAGCCTCCTGAGTAGCTGGGACCACAGGCACCCGCCACCATGCCCACTAACTTTTGTATTTTTAGTAGAGGTGGGGTTTCACTATGTTGGCCAAGCTGGGCCTAGGCTTCCAGCCTCAAGTGGATCCACCTGCCTTGGCCTCCCAAAGTGTAGGGATTATGGGTGTGAGCCACCATGCCAGCCAGAATTTCAAATATCACTAAATAAGTAGGGAGGGGTTTTCTGCACAGAAGAGCTCTTCCCTGACCTGTGAAATATCTGACTTGGTAGGCAACCACTTCCCCTATCCATGTGTGAGACCCATCTGGGCCATTTTGGAGTCCAGGCTTCCTAGGATCAGGGGTAATATCTAGTGGATGGAAGCCCATCAAACTCTGCCCAGATTTATCTTCTGCCATCCTAGAGTCAGGCCTAAAATCTTTAGGGCTGCATAGGAGTCAACTGACATAGTTCAGCCAGGTGTGGTCATTTTCCTCTGCTCTTTTGTAGGGAAACGCTGTCCCAACTGTGACGGGCCTCTGAAGCTCATCCCGTGCCGAGGTCATGGGGGCTTCCCGGTCACCAACTTCTGGAGACACGATGGACGCTTTATATTTTTCCAGGTTGGATTTGAGTTAGTTATGGGCCTTTCATTACTGAGGAGTTTCACTAGAGGCTGGAGATGCACAGATAAATGAGATCCTGCACCAAGCCTGAGGGCTCACACTCTGAGACAGCAAGTGTCTGTCCCCTGCACTTCTAATAGATGTTTGAAGTGCTGGGGAGCTCTAGAAGGGGAGCTGGCTGTCTCTGCCTCCACTCCTCAGGAGAAGTCACACTGAGGTTAGCACAGTGCTTCTAAGCATGCTGCTTGCTGCTGCTAGCCTTCAGCAAATCTGAGTTCGAATACCAGCTTTGACTTTTCACTCGCTCTGTAAACCTGACTGAGCAGGTGACTTTCTTCCTCCGAGTCCCAGGTTTCTGTAGAATGTGTAAGAAGTACTAATGGGGCAGGGGCATCAACAGTGGTAAAGAATGGACCCTGACTCAGACTACCTGGGTTTGAATTAGTGGGATGCTGGTAAACCAGCTCTCCAGAAAAGAAAATGTCCAGATTTCTAGCATTTGCCAACTTCTGTAATGGAAATATTCCCACCATGGCTGATTTCAAGCCAGAAGTCATTTTTAAAAATCAGCCTACAAAATTCCTGAATGTTTATCTATTGACTCTCAGCTTGGCCAGGTCCAGGGAGGGAAATCCTAGTTCCCTCACCTCTGGAGGAGGTTATCCAGTGGGCATAATCTTTCCATGCCTCAGTTTCCTGTTCTGTAAATCAGGAGTGATAATGATAGTATGTACTTCAAGGGTTGTGCTGAAGATGAAATGAGATATAAGGCACACAGAGTGTTTATCAGTGTCCTGCCCATACTACAGGAAGCATTCAATAAGTGTTACTTATCACTGTGATTATGGCTTTGCTGGGTGGGTGAGAGGCAGGCAGGCGGGAACACGGTGGGCTTGGAAGCTTCTTCAGAGGTTCATCGAGTCCTGTTACAATATGCAACTGCCACACCACCCAGGAGGACGACACAGTAAAAATGGATGCACCATGAAGCAGTGTTACCTCGTTTCCTTTTGACTTCCCTGTCTCCTTTCAGTCAAAGGGAGAGCATGATCATCCAAAACCAGAAACCAAGTTGGAAGCCGAGGCAAGAAGAGCCATGAAGAAAGTGCACACAACACCTTCCTCCGTTTCCTTGAGCCTGAAGGGGAGCTCAGAGACCAGGGTAACCCTTCATCATGTATGTTCAACACATGTAGTAGCTTGCCACGCCTATGTTGGGGGCAGTAGATTTCCAGGGTACCTTGCTGACACATGAAAGCCAGAAATCACGGATTATCAGGCACCTGCATTTCACCACCCGCCTCCACCCACCCCCCAAATTTCCTTACATCCTCAAACAGATTGTTTTCTTAGCACACTCTACCAAGATGAAATAAGCAAGTAGTTTCTGAAAATGATGGCTATCCCAGGGTGGCAATGGTGGAGTGGAGGCGACTCCCTACAGACAAACTGTGACATGAAGCCCACGGCTTTATGAGCAGCAGATCATAGGTTTTACGTTTGTCTGCTTAATATGGATAGTAATTCCTATACTTTTTCTACGGTTCAAACTGCACATTTCTTTTTGGGAGAACAGAGATGGAGCTGGTCCATTCCTAGAGACTCTAATTGTACTTTATAAAGAAAAATTGTAATTGGGTCTGTTGTAGGGAAATGTAAGTCCCCCAAACCCAAATGGCTGTTCCCTTATCCTTTCTCCCAGCCATAGGACAAGACAAGGGGCATCTCAGTCCCTCATCCACTCTACCTGGTCACAGCCCTTTTTTTGTAGCCCCTGAAACTATCTCCTTAATAGGTAGTTCTTTTACCTAAACAAGAGCATAACTTAATTCTCATCCAGATTCTTTTCTTAACGATTAACTAAAGAACAATATACTTCCTCCATTTAGAAAAATCTACCACTTGTATTCTAGAGGTCTGATTTATGGTTCAACAAAATCCCCATGAATTCAGAGAAAAATCTCTTGAGGAAAGGAAAAAGAAAACAGCAGCAGCAACTATGGTTTCTCACACTCCAACCAGCACTGAGAAATAGAAAAGTCAAGGGAGGAAGTGATGAGAGCAAGAGACCCCTGAGATCTGTACTGAGTATGATATAAATCTTTGTAGTTTTACTTGGATTTTTTGTAAATAGTTCCTTATAAGTTTCTCAAAAAGGCAATTAGGGGGCCAGGCACTGTGGCTTATGACTACAATTCCAGCACTTTGGGAGGCCAAGACAGGTGGGCCACTTGAGGTCAGGAGTTTGAGACCAGACTGAACATGGCAAAACCCCATCTCTACTAAAAATATAAAAATTAGCTGGGCATGGTGGCATATGCCTGTAATCCCAGCTATTGGGAGGCTAAGACATGAGAATCACTTGAACACAGGAAGCGGAGGTTGCAGTGCGCCGAGATCGTGCCATGGCACTCCAGCCTGACTGGGCAACGAAGCGAGACTCCATCTCAAAAAAAAAAAAAAGGCAATTAGGATATCGGATTTGTGTTTTGTGTTTGAGTGTGAAACATCTTAAACACACTCATGTTGCTACAGAGGGTAGGGAAAGTCAGCTCTTAACTGGTTAGTAAATTTTAACATGGAAACAGAGGCAGCCTTTGCTTTTTTTTTTTAAGATGGAGTTTCACTCTGTTGCCCAGGCTGGAGTGCAATGGTGCAATCTTGGCTCACCACAACCTCTGCCTCCCGGGTTCAAGTGATTCTCCTGCCTCAGCCTCCAAAACAGCTGGGATTACAGGCATGCACCACATGCCCAGCTAATTTTGTATTTTTAGTAGAGACAGGGTTTCTCCATGTTGGTCAGGCTGGTCTTGAACTCCTGACCTCAGGTGATTCTCCCACCTTGTCCTCCCAAAGTGCTGGGATTTGTCAGGCATGAGCTGCCGCGCCTGGCTGCCTCTGCTTTTTACAAGCGTTTCATGGTTGTGGTCAAGCTGCTGCATGTGTTTGTACGTCAAGTATTAATATGTAAAGAATGAGGAAAGTCTGACTGAGCTCTTATTTGTGCAGAGTAACTCATAGATGCCTATGGTAGTGGTTTTGATTTGCTTAACTTATTAACAGGAGCATTTCACTTTCCTTTCCAGTCTCTTCCAGGTGAAACACAAAGTCAGGGGAGTTTACCTTTGACTTGGTCTTTCCAGGAAGGTGTCCAATTGCCTGGTAGTTACAGTGGACATTTAATAGCTAACACTCCTCAACAGAACTCACTAAATGATTGCTTTTCCTTCTCCAAGAGTTATGGTCTGGGAGGAATCACAGATCTGACTGACCAGACTTCCCCTGTGGACCCCACGAAGCTCTACGAAAAGCGCAAATTGTCCAGTAGCAGAACCTACAGTAGTGGAGACCTGCTTCCGCCTTCTGCCTCTGGAGTCTACTCTGATCATGGCGATCTGCAAACGTGGAGTAAAAACGCTGCTTTGGGGAGAAATCCTCTTAATGACAACTGTTATTCCAATTATCCTTTTTCTCTGACCAGCTGGTCTTGCAACTTCTCTTCTTCCCAAAACTCTTCAGAACCCTTTTACCAGCAGATTCCACTGGAGCCATCTGCAGCCAAAACTGGCTGTCCCCCATTATGGCCAAATCCAGGGGGTAATCTTTATGAAGAGAAGGTACATGTGGATTTTAACAGCTACGTCCAGTCCCCTGCATACCATTCACCTCAGGAAGACCCCTTTCTCTTCACCTACACCTCTCATCCTCACCAGCAATATTCACTGCCAAGCAAGAGCAGCAAATGGGATTTTGAGGAAGAAATGACATACTTGGGTTTGGATCACTGCAGCAATGAGATGCTTCTGAACCTGTGTCCTTTAAGATGACTCAACTCTTCCATTAGGTGCGCCCTCAGCCCTCAAAAATGGGGAAGGGCTGAAAGAATTTCCTTAGGAAATAATTTTTAAAACATAACCACAGATAAATGAGAATCATGATAAGCAGTAGACAAGGCTTTCTTTTTCTTTTTTTTTTTTTTTTTTTTTTTTTTGAGGTAGAGTCTCACTCTGTCACCCAGGCTGGAGTGCAGTGGCACAATCTCGGCTCACTGCAACCTCTGCCTCCTGGGTTCGGGCGATTCTCCAGCCTCAGCCTCCCGAGTAGCTGGGATTACAAGCACCTGCCAACTGTGCCCGGCTAATTTTAGTGGAGACAGGGTTTTGCCATGTTGGCCAGACTGGTCTCAAACTCCTGACCTCAAGGGATCTGCCTGCCTCAGCCACCCAAAGTGCTGGGATTACAGGCGTAAGCCACCACATCCAGCTGACAAGAATTTTTTCTTAACATGAGTAATCCTTTGGCTCCTTCTCCTTCACTCTAATACTTCTACCCTTGGTAAGTATTGGAATGGAAACCTGTCTCGTCTAGGATGTGAAATGCCCTCTGCTTTTCCCCCACATTGTTTGGGGCTCCCAGTGGCACTTCATCTGCATTGCATGCTGGGTTTTCATTGTCACTGTTGCAAATCTAGTGGAGCCGACATGTGAAATGCCCACCTACCTAGGATCTGTTCTATGCCTTCTTGAGAACTGAGAATGAAGAAACAGAAATGGATAGTGGAAGAACTACCTAAGGTGTGAAAAGCTGAAGATTCCACCACTGAAGTACCGCACATTTTGTAAGTTTGAGATTAGTGTATAAAATACATGTTTTCTAGATGATTTCCAAGACTCGTGAAGACAAGGAACCCAACGTCACCCCATTTTTCGTAAAGACAAAGAACGGCAATGTTAAATTGCCATATGAAGAGAAATACTAGTGATGTACGCGGTCTCCTCACCTCCCCTTTCCTTCCCTCTTCCTCACCGACTTCCCCTTGCACAGGGGCTTTTGTTTTGTTCCATTTATTCTTTATGGCACCTATTGAATATATCAATGTGGGGTTTGTAATAGGTGAGAAATGTTTGCTTAGAGAAGTTTTTGTGCAATTAGCCTGGCAATGATTGGCCGGCCATGTTTGAATGCCAGTTCCTCTTCTTTGCTGAAGTACTTTATGATAAACATAAGCCTAGACATAAAATCTGGAGAGAACTATGCAATAAACAAATATTTTCAAAGTAAATGATCCCTTCTCCTTTATTAAAGTATTAACAGATGCACGTGATACAAAATTCAAAAGTGAAAAAAGAAGTCTCCTATTTCTAGTCTCCTCTCTGCAACACTGACCAGTTTCTTGTCTATTATTCCAGATATTAGGGAAGTTCTCTGCATATATAATTATATATAATATGTATGAAATATATTACATAAAATATACACTTTTTTTTTTGAGACGGAGATTTGCTCTTGTTGCCCAGGCTAGAGTGCAATGGCTCGATCTTGGCTCACTGCAACCTCTGCCTCCCGGATTAAAGCGATTCTCCTGCCTCAGCCTCCTGAGTAGCTGGGATTATAGGCATGCACCACCATGCCCAACTAATTTTGTACTTTTAGGAGAGACGAAGTTTCTCCATGTTGGTCAGGCTGGCCTCCAACTCCCGACCTCAGGTGATCCACTTGCATCAGCCTCCCAAAGTGCTGAGATTACAGGTGTGAGCTTCCACACCTGGCCCATACACACATATTTTATATATATGCATGTGTGTCTCTCTCTATATATAATATGCATATATAGAGAGAGAAAGATGACATATGTGGTATGATATCAGATTCATGATTCATTTCTAACATGGAATTTTGTCATTTTAGGACCCAATTTGAGCATTAGGTTCTTTTAAGCATATAGGATCACAGCTGTTTCATTTTTAATGGTGCTTTATGCATTAAATGACAATTATAATTAAATAGTCCCTATTGATAAACATTTAGATTTGTTTGTAAAACATATTGGCCAGGCATGGAGGCTCACAGATGTAATCCCAGCACTTTGGGAGGCCAAGGTGGGTATATCGCTTGAACCCAGAAGTTTAAGACCAGCCTGAGCAACATAGCGGGACCCCATCTCTACAAAATATTAAAAATTAGCTGGATGTCATCATGCATACCTGTAATCTCAACTACTTGGGAGGCAGGAGGATCACTTGAGTTAGGGAAGTTGATGCTTATCAAATCAGTGAGCCGCGATTGTGCCACTGCACTCCAGCCTGGATGACAGTCTTAATCAATCAATCAATAAAAACCTTATATATTCAGTTCAGCAGAATTGTAAAGCACATACTTGGGTAAACATCATCTGGACCAAGAAATAGGACCTACTAGCATTACAGAAGGTGCCATGGTTGTGGATTCCAATCCCACTCACTGTTGATTTTATACATCTATTGTTTTCCGACCATAGATTAGGATTTAGGACATACGCACCACTCCTCGCACGCACTGTTCCAGCAATTTACAAAGATCAGTTGTATTGAAATACAGTTTACATACAATAAAACTCAAATGACTTTACAGAGTTTTGAATGCTGTACATGTGGTCATTACACAATGAAGCCTCACCAAAATCAAGATATAGAACACGGCAGTTCCCTGAAAAGTCCTGTTGTGCTTTTTTCAGTCAATTTCCTCTGGGATCCCCAGCCCCCAGCAACTCCTGGAGGCTTTTATCTCTGAACAAGTGTGGGCAGGCTCCTGTCTGATGCTGTTGCTCCTTCATCTTTAGGCTTACATTCCTCTCCTCTCGATTGGGTTTGTGTCTTTCTCATTTTTGGTGTATTTCATCGTTTTGATAGAGCACACTCCCCACTAGTTCTCTGAGAAAAGATTTTTGGAGCCCTTGAATGTCTGGAAATGTCTTAATCAAATACTTGGTTTTTGTTTTTGTATTTTAACTTGGCACAGAATTTACCTGAGACTAGAAGACTAGGTTGAAAGTAATTTGCCTTCAAAATGGCCGGGTGCGGTGGCTCATGTCTATAATCCCAGCACTTCGGAAGGCCAAGGCAGGCGGATCACCTGAGGTTAGGAGTTCAAGACTAGCCTGGTCAACATGGTGAAACCCTGTCTCTACTAAAAATGCAAAAAATTAGCTGGGTGTAGTGGTGCACGCCTTAGGACCAGCTACTGGGGAGGCTGAGGCAGGAGAATCTCTCAATCCAGGAGGCGGAGGTTGCAGTGAGCCGAGATCGCTCCATTGCACTCCAGCCTGGGTGACAAGGGCAAAACTTTGTCTCAAAAAAAAAAATTCATTCAAAAATCTGAAGTTACCGCTTCATTGTCCTCTAGCTTCAGAGCTGCTGTTGAGAAGTCTGGATGTCATTTAGATTTCTGGTCCTTTGAGTGTGGCCTGCTTTTTATCTCTAGGAGCTTTTAGATAGTCTTGCTATGTCTTGTTATTTGAAATCTCATGACAATAAGCCTTGGGATGGGCCCTTTCATTTCTTATTCATTGTATAAGGCCTTGAGGCTTTCAATATAATAATTCATATTTTTAAGCTCTTAGATATGTTCTTATTTTTTTCAAAAATATTTGTTTCTTTTTTCTCATTATTTGGAACTTTTTTCAGATGGGTATTGTATTAAATAAATTTTCGTGGAGCACCTAAGAATGCCCTAATCCTGGGCACTGTGATTGTGTGGGCTGCTCTGTTCAGTGAGCATTGCCTGAGGGCAAGAACCACACTTGGGCCTAGAGAATGTTACAGGATATTACACCTGACTGTCAGGATTCAAATCTGTTAAAATTAAGATAAAGTACAAATAGGAAAATATAAAAGGGGCTGAGCATGGTGGCTCACAGGCGTGAGCCACACTTTGGGAGGCCGAGGTGGGTGAATTACCTGAGGTCAGGGGTTTGAGACCAGCCTAGCCAACACGGTAAAACCCCATCTCTACTAAAAATACAAAAATTAGCCAGGCGTGGTGGCTCATGCCTGTAATCCCAGCTACTTGGGAGGCTAAGGCAGGAGAATTGATTGAACCCGGGAGGTGGAGACTGTAGAGAGCTGAGATCCCACCACTGCACTCCAGCCTGGGCAACAGAGTGAGACTCTGTCTCAAAAAAACAAAAGAAAAAAAATATGAAAGGCAAATAAAATGGAAACACAGATATTATTACAGCACTAAAATGTATTACATTTGATACTGTCTTCATTTGTATGTGTAAATCATCTCCTGTTTAGCACCTGGCTCAATGCCAGCCTCCTAGAGAGGCTCAGTGTGCATAACTGCCTCAGAATGGCCCAAATGTAAAGAAGTATCAAAGGCCAATCAAAAGCAACTGTTGGGCCAAGTGCAGTGGCTCATGCCTGTGATTCCAGCACTTTGGGAGTCTGAGGCAGGCAGATCACTTGAGGTCAGTAGTTCGAGACCAACCTGGCCAAGATGGGGAAACCCCATCTCTACTAAAAATACAAAAATTAGCTGGGAGTGATGGTGGCACTTGAAGTCCCAACTATTTGGAAGGCTGAGGAAGGAGAACGCTTGAACCCAGGAGGTGGAGGTTGCAGTGAGCTGAGATCATGCCACTGCACTCCAGCCTGGGTGGCAGAACAAAACTCCATTTCAAAAACAACAACAACAACAACAAAACCCACTGTTGTAACTATTATTCTGATCTTAATAAAAATGTAGTATGAATAAGATATCCAAAGTAGGGACTTGTTTCACTGCCTATTTAGTATAAAAAGTCATTTATTATTTAGCTTATGGTGGCAGACTGAATGTATGCCTTTGCTAAGATCTTAAATGTCAGTAATGAAGTATTAAAAAAATAAGCCAAGAGAACATAGTAAGTGCATCAGAAATGTCAACACATTTCTGGGAGATGAGAAGTGGATGGAGTATATATTGACCTATAATGAGGGGTCACAAAGAAGTGAAATGGAAAGGCAGGACCCTGGAAAGGCTGTGGGCCGATGTCACTGAGCTGAAGGGTAGGAATGAGAAGAGATGGTCACCAGAAACAGGGCCAATACTTAAGAGGCTTTCTGCAGATCAACTGCTACCAATTAGGACTTCACCCAAACATGCATCCCAGGAAATAAAACAGTCAAAAAATAATA